GTGCCTTGTTCCCGCACTTTCCCGTCAAACTTGAGTTCGAAGTGTTGGGTACCAAAATGTATACTTGTTCCCGAAAGGCGTTTCAGTACGACTTGGGGGTGCATAAACAAATTTTGGCCGACATCGCGGGCATCGGAGCCTTGCACATCCCTGGAAAGGTCAAAAACCTCCTCTTTGGTGCCAAGATCATTGCTCGTATTTCCTTTGGATCACACGTCACTCAAATTCCCAAACGGGAACTGGGCCAGATTCAAAATGCCATTATTCGAGCTATGTGGAATGGTAAACCTAAATGGAGAGCCAAATGGTTGGTCCAAGCTATTCATGGGCAACCCCACCGGACCGACCCTGAAATTGCTTGTGCGGTCACCACGATTTGTGAGTTTGTTCGTTGTTGTCAAAAGACGCCTGCGCTTGTTCCCCTCATTCAGCGAACGCAAACTAATGCATTCATGCAGCCTCACTCACTATGGCGTCGATTGCAACATGCGTGTTCTGTTTTGAGGGTTGACATCACCCCGGACCTTGGGCTCTCTTTTCACGGCTCCCAACCATTTGCTTTGGAGAAGCTCCAACCACGTGAACTTAAGCCTTTGCTTGTCCAACTTGCTAAGCAAGCGGCCTATCAGAATGTTGACTTCCATACACGTAAGGATTTTGTTCAACCTCAAGGCCTACTTGACTTCCGCACCACCACGCGGTTGTTGTTGGATGAAACTGTTAGCGCCGGCTCCACCATTACACCGGCTCGACGTTTTCACTCCGTCGTTGTGGGCTGTGTGTTGACCAATGACCGATTGTCAGCTGCCGGCTGGGTTGATTCCTCGCAATGCAGATTTTGCTCTCAAGCTAAGGAATGCATGTCCCACCTTGTCTATGATTGCACAGCACTTCATTCGTTGATTGGCAAGCCTACTTTGCACGAGCTTGGCAGTAATTTTGCTTTGATGGGGATTCTGGAGCAACCGTGGTTTTTGGCACGAAGACGGCTGCTATGCTCAATTCCGCCATCAGTGTTTCAGCCTTTCCAGTTTGATCAACTGGTTGAGTTTTGGACAGATGCATCAGTGCTTTGGGCAGACCGTTTTTGGCTTACGATCGCCACTTTTGCGGTGGTTGACGACGATTTACAGGTTTGCAAAAAAGGCATTGTCAACTACCCTGCGCTCAACTCGTCTGTTGCCGAGCTATGGGGTCTGTTGCAGGCTTGTTTGTTGACGCCCTTCCGTGTTCACACCTATTGTGACAATCAGACTGTTGTCAACCATGCCACACAGGTTTTTCTCCATGGAACTGCTGATGAGTCTTGGATGTGCCAGGATTGGTGGCGCTGCTTATGTGAGTTGACTCGGACGCGGAAGCGATTGCATCCGTGTCCTTTTCAAGTCACTTGGATCCCGGCTCACTGCTTTGAACACTTGCCCATAGCCAATGTCACTCTCGCAATGGCTGCAAGCAAACACACTACAGTGCGGAACATCGAGCGCAACCGCATAGCAGATCTTACTGCCAAGGAATTGACCTCCACCCTCTCTGCTGTCCATCCGCAGATGCAACATGAAGCGGACCGTGCTGCTTTGCAACACCACAAATGGCTAGCTACTTTGCACGAGCTTCTCCCCACAACATGTCCCTCGCTGACAGTCGATTTGCCCGAGCATGAGCTAGAACTTGACATGGAGCACTATAGAGAACTTTTTCCTCAATGGAGTTGGAACGCTGACAGCCGTTTGTTTACGTGGAAACCCAAAATCCCGACAGGCTTTCAGAAGCCTTCATCATGGGAGGGCTCTCCGCACGAATGGAAAGTTGTTTGCACCTTTCTCCGCAACTTGCGCTGGAAGGTTGATGACACAGAGGTTACATCGTTCTGCGAATTGACAACATTGTTTCATCATTCGGGGTATGCTTTCGAAGATCAAGGCTTGAGTCCGACTTATTTGGATTATCACAAGAAGATCCGACGTGCGATTGTTCTGCTTGACCGTTCTGCAGAAGTGCAGGTTGTTCCCGGAACCATCTCTGCTCCTCTTGCAAAGGCAGCTGGTCGTACGATGCCTCAGGGCTCAATTGTTGGTGCTGCGATGTTTGCTGGCAATGACGCCTTGGTGCACCTGGCCAAAGTTTTCGAATGTGGGGCCGGACGTACCTTGGCGTCTTGGGATGTCTCCCTGCTGTAGGTCGCTCTTCATGGTGAAGGTTAAACCTTCTTTGGGGTGCATTTTGTGTACATAGGTCTGTGAGCCTAGTACATCACCGGGCTCGTCTCGCGAGTGATCCTGGTGCGCGTGGTGATATATATACATATATATGGTACCCCCCCCGGGACCTACCCTTTTGTACTTTTCAGCGGTATTTACGGTGAATTATGCACATTTTGACATTGATTTTTGGGTACAAGTTTTAGATCATTTTTTGGTTGAAGGGATTGTGGGGGTGCCACATATATATATATATTGACACAATAAGAACGGAAACAGTGGTCAATGAAGACCTTTTGGGTGGAAACCAGATGATAATACAAACAAAAGTTGCGCAACATGTTGCGCAACAAACTAAAATCCTAAAATCCTAAGATTTCAGCAGTAGTCCAAACCTTGACTTCATTGTTGTAGTCGGGAAATCTTAGGATTTTATGATTTTAGTTTGTTGCGCAACGACAAGTGCTGAAATCTTAGGATTTTAGATTTTAGGATAATACCGAGTGAGTTGATTTATGAAATCTTTTTATCATGTCAATAGTATTTCATGTCTCAAATATGGTTTAGTTAAACCTCTAAGTATGTATGTTTTATTTCCTGTCATGTCACGTTTTGCTTCTAATACTTCATAAGTTTTTGTGCTCCATTTGCTGGTGTATTCTTTTCTGTCAGTATAATTGCCTCTATTATTTTGGTATATCTTAACATCATCACCTACATTGATGTTTGGATATTTTCTCGTGTTCTTTTCCTTGATTGTCAAGTTCACTCTTGCATTTACTGTCTTATCATCCTTGTGTGCCTGTTTTGGTGTCATTCCTGTTGATGAGTGCTTTGTGTTGTTGTATTTGTTCAAAGCTGGTATCAACATATCTGTCTAATTTGCCTTGTTAAATCTAACACGGTCATGTATCATATTCTTCATGGTTCTAATAAATCTCTCGGCAACATTTGCATGAGTTGATGTTATGATATGTTGTATGCCTTCATTCTTTAAAAACTCTTTTACTACTGATTGAAAAGCACCATCATTGTCACTATAAATAGATATTGGAGAATCCTTTTTCTTAAATGATTGTTTCAAGCATCTAAAACACTTTCTGAATTGTTTTCCTTCGTAGGCACTACATTAGCCAGCTTACTAAATATGTCAATAACAACCAATGCGTATTTTGGTTGTTTTTTGGGTGGTTCTATTTTGACCTCTGGATTTTTTACAAGTGGAGCCATGACCATTATATCAATTTGATATTCAAATCTGGCAAAAGGTGCTGTGTATGAGTTTGAACCCCTATATCCTTTTATCTGTTGGTTAGGCTGTTTGGTCATAAACCTTTTTACATCATCCAAAGTTATTGAAGGGTCTTTTTCCTTCGCCCTTTTGTATATGGATTGAACCCTCCCGAACCCTTCCTCAACATCATAATATACATTGCTTATAATAAGTTCCTTTGTCAATAGCATTATAATAGAATTAGATAATAATGTTTAATTACCCTAAAAAGATACTTAAAGCAATATTGTTATATATTATTAAGTGAACATGACTTCTATGAATTGTGGGTGTAAAGTCATATGTGATAGGATAACAAAGAACACGTGATGAACGAGGAATTCTTATTAGTAGATTTAAAGTTTTCCATCAGTATCAACAATATGTTGATGTGTGTGGTCAGTGTAGTAGGAAAGAGAAACTTTCAATAAGATTGAACAAGATAAACTGAAACTGGCAAAGGAACAGTTTAAAATAATTACCGAAGAAAATGATGAAGAACCAGAACCTGATAGTGAGAGTGATGATTAATTTATGATATCGAAACAAAACATATTATGAACTATTAACCCCAAAAATAGATATAAAGAAATAACCCTATAATATATTAAGCTGATGAGTGATAATATATAAACATGTTCAAAATGTAAAAAGGAAAAACAATAGAAAACTTTGATGGAGGAAAGGCATTATGTATTAAATGTCTTGAAGAGAAAAAGAAATATAGAGAAAATCACAGAGAGGAATTAAGGCAAACAGCAAAATATATTTATGAAAAGAACAAAAAACACATACTTGCCATATGTAAAGAATACAGAGAACAAAAAAGAGATACAATTCTTGAAAAGAAGAAACAGTATCGTGAAGACCACAAAGAAGAAGTCAAAGATAAAAAGAAACAATGCTATGAACAGAACAAGGAACAGATACAAGAGAAACAGAAACAATACAACAGATTAAAAATTGAATGTCCTGTTTGTAAATGTTTAGTGGGTAAATATACAATTAAAGGACATGAAGAGAATCAAACACATCAACTAAAACTGAAAGGTCAAGAACAAACAAAACAACACCAGCAAACAATAGACTATCTAAATGCTAATTTTCCATCCTACCAAGAATACTAACAAACATCTTAACAAAGAACGCATTTCAAATGGTCCACATCTGGTCAAACACATAAAAGGTAGGTCTTGGGGGGGGCTAGCGTACATACACATATATATATATATATGTAGGTCAATGACGATCAATGTCACCACTCCTTGGGGGGCTTTGCTATCTACCAAAAAAAGCATCGTCGCGTTGCAGTCTTGCTGCAGTCTCTTCCGCCGTCTTCGAGAGTGAAAGTCTCGCTCCGGGTGTTGAGTGTCCCAGTGGATCGGTTTGAAGAGAACAGGTATGTCTTGAGGGATGTCTTGGGAGATCGATCTGACGTGCATCAACTGTCCAGCTCTTTTCAGACATCAAACAGGAACGAATCAATTCTTTTCTTCAACGGTGCTTGAGCCCACAGCAGCTCAGAGGTGTCCATCCACTACAGCTTGGAGAGACACAGCTCAGTGCCCTTCGCAGAAGCTGGGCGGAAGGTGCTCCCGGCACCGTGCCAAGCGGAAGTCTGCACCTTGGAGCTGCTGGTGCCCGAGGACGCGCGGGAGCTGCTGGATACTCATGTCAAAACATACCCCAGACAATTCAAAACGCACATCTCAACAACGCTCATGGATCGACACCAAGGCCTTTTGTGGGAAGCTGTTTCTCCTTTGTTTTTTCTTCCATGTCCTCTTGGACGGAAAGCGTGTCAAGTATGCTTCTTTGGTGATCCTGGTCTGGATATGCATCATTTGCATGCAAATCTGAGAGTCTGGAATGACCCAGAATGCCAGCCCGCTGAATGACCCAGTCCACGGAACCCCCCCGTTTAGCCACATCGCTCGTATGGATGTGAGACATGAGCCTTGAGGACATGCCAGCTCCGATTCACGTGATGTACCACTTGGATCCGTGACCCGACCGATTCATCCGCGCTGCCGCGATGGAATCTCTTGACTTGCACGCGCGCAGTCGGGCACTTTGGCGGGTGGCGAACACGGCGTCCTGTGAGGTTCTACCAAAACTACCCGAACTACATCCAATCAGGCCAAGAGGGAAAACATGGGAAAACGGTGATATTCAAGCAGAGAACTGAACAAAGAAGAAGAAGAAGAAGTTGAAGAAGAAGAAGAAGAAGAAGAGGAAGAGGAAGAAGAAGAAGAAGGCAGAGCTAGAAGAACCAATGCACAGAAAAAATGATGAACGCAGAAGAAGGAGACAAGCACACAGAAAAAATAAGAAGCAGAAAGAACAAAGGCGCAGGAACAAGATGAAGAAGAAGGCAGAAGCAAGATAAATACCAAGCAGGAAAAGAAGAAGACGGAAGCTGAAAGAAGGAAGCAGAAGAAGGAGAAGCAACGACAGAATGAAGAAGACGCAGCAAAGAGAAGAAACACAACAATAAAACGTAGCAAAAAGACGCAACATACGCATGCATGAGAAAGAAGAAGGAAGCAGACAGAAAAAGAAAGACACATACAAGAGCAGAGAAAATCACAAAAACTAAGACGAACCAAGAAGAATCAAGATAGATAAGCAACCAGGAAACAAGAAGCAGACAGAAGAAAGGAGCAGGAACAAGAACAAGAATAAGAGTAAGAAGAAGAAGCAACATGAAGAACAAACGGAATAAGAAACAGAAGAAGAAGGCATAAACAAGAGAAACAAACAGGACAAAGAAGAAAGAAGCAGAAAGAAGAAGAAGAAGAAGAAAGCAGCGCTAGAAGAAGCTTCTTCCGTCCAAGAGGACATGGAAGAAAACGTGTGCTTAGGCAGGACGGAGGGTATGAGCTTGTAACCTTTAATGTCCATTACCTTCTCCAGCTGGAACCCAGCGCCAGGCAGCCGGAAGGGCGCCTGGCCACAGTTGACAGGCACCGACAACTTCAAACTTGATCAAACTGCAAAAGGACACAATTGAACAGCTGCTGCGTTAGTTAGTTTGAGCAGTTGAGGCAAGATCCTAAGTGGAGACGAGCTGAGAAAGCCAGGGCTGCCCAGTAAGGAAAGGAACGTGAAGAAAATGCAGTTGTCCGACCAGCTCAAAAGGAGTGTTGGATCATTTAGATTTGGTCGACGTGTTTGCTGAACTCAAGATGGCAAATCCGTTGGAACCAAATCACAGTTGATCAGTTGAACTGACAAATCATCCTTTGCAACCTTTAATTTTGGCATTCCTTTTGCGAGCCAAATACGCGTACGGTGCATTCGTCACCCATTCAGGCATTGCCCCGTGACGGCCACCCGAGAATCTGCTCATGGGAGCTTTTTCCCTTGTGGCTTGCAGGCTGTGTCGAACACCGGAGCGTCCAAAACGATGTTTGTTCGAAGCTCGAAGGGCGAACCCTTTTTCGTTACCATCTCATGTAAACGGTGGATGAATCAACCCCCAAAGGCTGGTAAACACATTCTGGAGATCCAGGGAGTTGATGACTTCAGTTGCATGATCTACTACAAGCAAAGGGACTCCGGGACTCTCGAAGCGCATGGAAGGCTGGGAGCTTCTTCAACGATACCTTCAAGTGTGTGGCCCAGGAGAATAACGCGAGAACTTCAAACACTTTGGGATTCATGATGTTTTGACGAAAGCCAGCTGATAGGCTAGGCTGGAGTTGTCGATGGGCGAACGAAGTGAGCATAGGGGGTGGTGGGGGGTGGTTACCTAGCTGGCCAGTTTGGGTAGCAGAGCTGTAATTGGAAAGGGGGCACAATGTGACAGGAAAAACGGTCGGAAATCCACCAGGAAAGTGAGATGTGCGTCTCTCAACGCTCTGTTTTCTTGTGGTTAACAAGAGTGTTGTTGTTGTTGTTGTTGTTGTTGTTGTTGAGCAGCGGCGTTGGTAGCTTGTTCCATACCTGTTCGTCCAGGTGATTAACAAGAGTGGAAGGGAACGCAAGAAGCGATGTCACCCGTTGAGGACAGGAGAGGGAACAGAATGCATTCGGCAAGCTTTGAGTTGCTTGGGGGTGCCCCTTTTAATGTCTTGCTAACCCGGTCCGTCATTTCATTTCTCTACTAATCCCGGTCCGCCATTTCACTTCTCTATTGAGCTCGGTCCGTCACTTCATTTCTCTATTAACTCCGGCCCGTCAGTTCACGCCTCTATGGGACCTGGTCCGTCGCTACATTTCTTTATTAAACCCAGTTTCCTTTCTCTATTAAACTTTGTCCGTCATTGCGTTTCTGTATTAGGCCCGGTCCGTCATTTCATTCTCTATTAAACCCGGTCCGTCATTTCATTTCTCTATTCAATTCGGTCCGTCATTTCATTTCTTTATTACATGATTCCGGTCCGTCACTTCATCTCTCTATTAAACCCGGCCCGTCCGTCACTTCATTTCTCTACTCAAACCCGGTCCGTCATTTCATTTCTCTATTTAACCCAGTCTGTCTTTTGACTTCTCTGTTAAACTTCTGTCCATCCTTTCATTTCTCTATTCAACCCGGCCGGTCATTTCATTTCTCCCAGTACCAGGCTTCAGCCTCACTTGCGCTTCGCGCCGCGGGCACGAAGCACAAGTGAGGAACCAACAGCACAAATGCTATGGTGACTTGCGCTCCGAGAGTTTCACTCGCGCTTCGCGCCGCGAAGCACAAGTGGCCAGAAAAAAAGGCGAGCGACCACCGAAAATCACGGAGCCGACTGCGATCGGGAGTTGCAGAGGCAGGAGAGGAGAAGGCAGAAAACGCCGGAAAAAATCATCAAAGGGCTTCCCAAGCCTCAACGTTGAGCTCTCAAAAAAGTGACGACGCAAGTGACAAGCCATTATGTTTCTAGTGGAAAGGTGCTTGGCCTTCGCTCAGCTCAACTTTTTTTCCTAACGCATGGGCTCCACCTCTATCCTATAACAGCTAATGGGCCTTGATCGAAGCCTTGTGATTACAGGGCCTGTATATCGCCCTGTCATATCGTCCCTCAATGCGAGACTTTCCGCCTTTGCCTTCTATTTCCCGATGCCTGACAGCAGTTCCAGTGCGCCGTCGAGTTCACCCCATAACCACATTGATGTTTTCTGGGGCTGGCTTTCGTCCCCTGTATATATATATATATTTACTTTACATATATGTATACATATAACTGACGCCCAGAATTCCAACCACCATTGATTTAGAGCAGCTGTTGTTTACATAGGGAATTTGATTATTTTGACTACACAACCGGGTCTGGTCCTTGACCTCATTGAGTACTGTTTTCATACGATTTGTATGACCCAACCCAGTGAAATCAGGTCCTCGACCCGCTGGGGGAGCTTTCACACAGAACCTTGATGTGCTTGACCTCCATTCGCTCTCTTCGTCGAATCATCCGTTCGTTTTGCTTTTGAACCTTCAGCCCACCTGCGCCTTTCCAAAAGGGGTCCGTCGTGCTCGACTTCCCTCGCGCACCTCCCTCGCGCGGAGCCGCTCAGCCCGGCGCTCGCCGAGGCTGAGACGGGCTAAGGATCTCAAGGAACTCTTCATCAATGAGAGTTCTGTGGCTCGAGAAGACGACCTGAAGAGGACATCTTCTCGTCCCACACGCGATGCGTTTGTTGCAGGTTTTGGTGGTGTTCATTTTGGTGTGTGTGTGTGTGTGTGTGTGATGAGTCTGTGCTTGGCTAAATGGGAGTTAAACACCCATAATGCGTCCTGCAACCCCATTCAAAAGGTTGGGGATTCTCTGGAGGTGTTGGGGCATCTTCGCAGATCTGCTGCAAAAGCATATTCTGGATTTGTTCAAAGCTCACAAGGCTCAGTCAGTCGGCAGGATGCGAAATCCTCCGGGCTATCCACATGGTGAGGATATGGAGCCAGCCTTAGCTGGGGCGGTGTTTTCTTAGATGTTGAAACATCCAGCTAAGACATGTCAGATTTCCTGTACATAAGAAAATCCATAGATTGACACCCAAGCTGAAAGCTTGAGCTGCATGACAATAACATTTGCACCCTAAAGATCTACCCCTAGGACATCCTAGGACACCTGCCTTCAGCCTTGGATGAGAATGCGATCAGTTTTGCTGCCATTTCAATGTTCGATTTCAAACCATCATTTTCCATGAAGGAATGGCTCTTCATGCGCTACCCAGAGGCCTGGAGAGCAAGAACATGGGCTAAGATAATGAGGATGGAGTGGATGAGTGGATGTTGGATGATGTTGGATGTTCAGCTGCATGCATTTCTTCATGTTCAAACTCGTGCTAGCAAGTTGGCTGGAATGCTGCCGCCCGGAAGCCAAGTTGCCGAATGAGGTCATCTCGTTGGCCGAAGGGGTCAAGAACCAGCGCTTTGCCGAATGGATGAGGCCAGGATGGATCGATCTCAGGGTCTAAAAATTCGGAGAGCACGAACCATGACGAAGACGAATGGCAAACATGTCCGTCCCCGGTTTTTCCGCCGAGAGTCCAGTCATGACTCATGTTGCCCCTCTATGGTAGTGGTGGATGGATTGACTACCGGTGGAATCAACTGCGTCAAAACGGAACTTCTGGGGAGGCTCCTTCCGTTTCGAGGACGTCCGCTGGCCGTCCCGTCCGGTCCCCGGGGGGCCCCGGCCACTTCCCGACCGTTTCGCCCCAGGCCATCCGCCTTACCGAGCGTGCTGAAGCGTATCGGCCAGCTGGACGTGGAGATCCCCAGAGACCCGGGGGAGAACGGCGCCCATACCGTGCTGCGCTGAACGAAACACTGACTGGGGCCGGCGCTCGTGCGGTCCTGGAAGGAGTCTTTTTTTGGACATCGGGTGGATCCCAACAATGGCGGTGAATCTGTAGGGAATTTGTATGAATGGTGATAAGGTTTCTGGGAGCCAGCAAGGCGACCAAGCAAGGCCTTCAGATATTGCCCCAAGTTGGTGGGACTGGACTTGTATGAACCAAGGGGAGGGAATGACAGTGCTTGACCAAAACTATGCTTTTCTTTCTTCCTCCGTTGTTATACCTGGTGTTTGGCCACGCCTAAAGGTTCGCAGCGCTCATTTTCTTTGGACCGACAGCACCTAGGAGCCCCTCAGCAAGGGTGAGACCATCCTGGTTGAGATAGGCCTCAGGCCCGCAGGGCCTCGCGCAGGGCGTTCTGCTGATGTGTCGGGTGGGTTTGCAAGTCTGCTCAAGTGGAAGACGCTGAAACTCATCTGTTCAATTGTTTTTTTGGAGTTCAACAGAGGTTAGAAAAACCCTAGTTCGACTATCCCATAGGTCCATAGGTACTCCAGGTGGACCGGTTCCTAGTTCTTTGGTCACTCAACCTCTCTGGGAGACTTCGACCCAGCCTGCCACGGGTCGCCTGCCACGTGGAAGATCTGCCGCGCGACCAGATTTCCCGCGTCGACCATCGATGTGGAGAAGGAGCTCGCAGGGGCGCTCAAGGGGGGCCTTGGACGGGCCCTGACGGCCTATGACGGCCTTCAGCTGATCCACACATAACTTGCGCTCCGCTCCATGATGCGCCTGAGATAGTCCTTCCCCATGACGGGGGGGTACTATAGAGGTTGAGATTTACAAGAAGCCCTGTAACAAACATGTAAGTATACCATCACCTAGACTGATCCAAACCCAGACTTTATATGGATCATGGACTGTTTAGTTTATTAGTTGTGTTACTTCTTTTTTTTAAAGAACATTGGGTTTATACTTTGAATTGACTCGTTCTTTATTTTTAGTGTACTGAAAAATCAGGTTTATTATTGACAGTAGTTGATTGTTGTATGGATTTAGAGGCCCGGAGTGGCTTGAGGTTGTTGTTGACTTGTGGTTTACTACTGTGGTGTGAACATGATAGAATATAAGCCTACATTGACCCCTGTTGAACCACCCCAATGTTGGTAAATATGCCAGTCCTGTGAAGTGTTTGGGCCATGGAGTTGGCGACTTTGCACTTTGGTGCAAGAAGATTGCGAGGTCCTCCTAAGTCCAAGCCCTATCGGGGGAAGCTCACATGCGCTCAGCCAGTGCCTCAGCCTGTTGGGTGAAACGTGGCAAGTGTGGAAGATGGTGCCTCTTCAGGCCTTGATGTGATCACCCAATGTGATAACTCCCTTGGAAAGCAAGAATCGCAAGAACCACTCCAAAACCCCTCCGATCATTCGTTTGACGTAAACGTGCCACACTTGTGAGATCTTGTGGGCGTTTTTCCTCGCAGAAAGGTCACCCATCTTGATACAGATTTCGGCGTCCTTGCTTCGTTCAAAAAGGCGTGGTGTTCATCGGCGTCCTGAGGCCGCTTTCTTTTGTATGCCAGTGCTTCGTGCTGGGTTCTTGCTCTGATCGCCGGGCGCCAAGGTCATAGCACAATCTTCATAGAACAACCCAGGACAAGACCAGGATTACACATATATATATATATACAGTAATATATATATATATGTATATATATATAATGATATATATATATATACCATGGGTGAGTGGTTGGGTGGTTGATACGCGACACAAATCAATCAACCCAATCATACAACAATCAACCATCTCGTCAAAGAAATTCCCTCGAGCCAGCGTATTGACTTCTTTTCCCGGGGTGGTTGATGGTTGTGAATCTCAATTAGGACATCGTGGGTCATGGTGCGCCGAACTGCAAGTACGTTCATCCAGCATGCATCCAGCAAACAGTTCAACAGTTGACTGTTGGGGTTCAAGCAGTTGACCCTGAAAAAGAACAACGATAAAACCGTTTGGGGTCCATGCCTGGGGTCTATGCGTTCCTTCTCCCGGTGAACGGGGCCGCGCCGGACGTCGCCGGACGTCGAGGTCTTGCTCTGCGAGAAGTGTTGCAAGCGTCCGCTGGGACATCCACGCTTCGAGCGCATGCGCATTGCCCAGGACACGCTACGAGCATCCGCGCGCGCACGCGGGCGCGCCGGTCTCGCGGGCTTTGGACGACCAAGAAACAAGAACTAATACAGTAAGACACATGGCGGCTTTACCTTTGGGAGTTGAGGATCCTTTTTGGGAGTTGAGGATCCCGGGATCCCTTGCCTTTACCAGCGTGGCTGGACGAGCTGCGAGCCAACGAACCCTTCCTTCCACCGGAGCAGCCGTACGGTGTGCCATACGGCCGTACCGCTGGCAGGACTCGGAGAGCAGCGAAAGTGATGGTGCAGTGTAAGGCGGCCAGTAGGATGGGCCTGTTGGTCCTTTTACTTGAAGTCTAGGAGTCTAGCAGACTTCCAAAGAGAAGCAAGAGGCCAAGAGTCTTCCAAAGCTAGCCTTTTGCCTTTTGTCTTTTGCTAGCCTTCCTCTTTGCTAGCCTTTTGCCTTTTGTCTTGGACATCCAAAGAGAAGGCCAAGAGTCCTGCGCCAAAGTCAGCGCATGTGCGATCCTGAAGATCGTCGGTGACGGGGGAAGCGGCCAGTGATGGCCTAGCTAGGCCTGCCAGAGGTGCTTCTGGGAAATGGCAGTGTACAGGTTAATGAGCCGCACCATCTTCTGGGAGATGCTGCCACGTCGCATTGATTGAGCAAAAGGAGCGTTACGGCCATCGGGCCACTTTCGATCGTGCCGCTTGAGTCCCTCGCGGAAGAACACATTCAATGTGCCCTTGAACTTGTTGCGCAAACGCCAAGTGAATGCTGGACATGGGCAAAAAGTCAAACTGAAAAGTTGAGCAGTTAAGCTTGATGTTGCATGATTAATTATACAATCCTGACTCACAATCAATTGACATTTCCAGTGGTGTGCTTCGTGAAGCAGGTTCTCGAGTGGAGATCAAACCGTTTGTGGTTGTTGTGGCTTTCGATCACGCCTCTGCCAACTTTTCCAGCTGCGAATCCCTCCACGGAGCATTGCGGCAGAACGAATCATTGTCTGACCCCCATCCCACACTGTTTTGACCTGTCGGGTCAGCCCCCAGTCCGCTTTGCCCTGGTCATGTCAATAGAAGAGCCCAACAGAAGAGCCTAGACGTGCATCAGACTGAAGTTCTTTTCGCCATGATTCTTGCTGTCATGGAAACATTCCATGCGGCCTTGTGGCCTTGTCTTCGATCAGATCGGCTTGAAATCGTCCGCTCCCTGGCCCCGTGGCAGCGCAGCAGCGCAGCGGGCGCCGCATGGCCTTCCCCCCGGTCCCTCGTCCCCCGTCCGACCGCCAGCGACGCCCCCGCGCTTGTGCAAGCTCGCGGTGTTCGAGCGGGCTTCCAAACGTCAGGCGGAGACAATCCCACGCCAATTGGTCCTGTAGATGTTGTTTTGTTGCATCTTTTTGCATGCTTTGTTGGGGTACTAGTACTATATGGTCGGATCTTATTGCAAGCTATCTCAAGTACATCATTTTGACGTTTGCCCCTGCAAGGTGATTGCCAGCACCTACCGTTATGCAGTTAGTTATGCAGCATTCATAATTATAACTTGATTTGACGAGGATAGCTGAAAAAGGTTCAATTTGACATTCTAGCAGCTAGCATTTCTGGGTTTCACTATTCCTCCAGACAGCCCTCGCTCGATCCAAGTCTGACAGAGAAACACACGTTTACCGTCGCGGAACACGGGCGGAAAGCACCTTTTCCGACCGGAGCGTTCAGTCTGTGCCGCGTGACCCGCCGGTGTCCGTGTTCGGCCGAAACCAACTGCTCAGCTGCAGTTTTAGGTGCCGGTTTCGGTGGTCACGATGTGTGGTTGTGATGTCGTAGACAACGACATCGTGCATGCGCAAATGTCGTTCCATGTCCTTCATGGACGCCGGTGCGGATGCTATTTGGGGTCTTGTGCTCTTGTTGCTGCAAGGGCTAGCAAGTGTTGCAAACGAGTGCAAGTTGTTGTGATGCGGCTTGATTTTGGGGGAGCCAATCAACACTTACCTGGACCTGGGATTGCCCTTGCTTACGCCAAAACAGAACCACTGGATACAACTGAAGCTTTTTACCTGGGGTGACCCCAAGTTTGGTTCGACCATTTTGGTATTTTGTCTCACAAAAGGCTGTTCGTAAAGTGTACCTCCCGTGGCTGGACGGAATGAGCCGGTCTGGCACCCAAGACGGGCGCAACGCAACGGAGAAAGCGAGGCCGCGAGACCGCGAGACTCGTCGGAGATCTGATCTGGTGATCATCTCCCGATCATCAAATGTGGTCGTCCTCCTCTCTTCAGAGCAGCTCTCTTTGCGACACCCAAGGGGTTCTACACGCGCGGGAAATTCCGCGACACGGAGTGGGAATCCTCCGTCCCAAGCAAACTCTCTCCGTGCTTAGAGTGTTCCGTGGTCCACCTGGCTTCTTGAGTGCGTGCCCAATTCTGGTAGACCAGCCTGGCGAACAGTGGCAAGTGTGGGGGACTGCCAGTCATTTTGATCATTTTGCGCTGGTTTGAGTGCTGGAATGGATGCGTGGTAGGCATGAAAAAGGTGGATGCATGTTTTAAGTCGCTTGTGATATCTTGTGATTTCTTAGTATGTCTGGCGTAGTTGACTGTTTACCGTTTGCCGTAATTACTGTATTAACACACTATATCACTATATAATCAAACAGAAGATGCTTCAGGTTTCGACCTCTTGTTTTGATTTTGTGCTTGCACTTGGCCCATCATCAATTTTTGGCTAGCAACCTTGCCACAGGACCCTTTTTTTGCATTCTCCCAAAGCTCCATGACGGCTCCTGGAGAAAAGAAGGCCTATGTCGAATGATGCCAACATCCTGTGCTTGTGAGGACAGTTTGTTGCTCTCTTTTCCCGCTATGTCTCCGGCCGCACGACGCTCGCACTCAGCGTAGGCCGACGCGATAGATAAAATTCCGTCATCTTGAAATTCGCATCTAGAGATGTTTTTCTCCGTTTTTCTAACCTATGTTGTGTTAAAGCTGAAGAACTTCAAGAGTAATGCCAAACGATTCCGCGCGACAGCCGACAGCATAGACAGCCTACCTACTCTTCCCAGCGAAGGTTTCCGAAAGTCCACGTTCGACCTTTCGTCACGGTGACGAAACGGTGGATCAAGTGACGGCCCGATCTCGTGAAACAGCCCGATCTTTGCTGGCCAGGAACGTTGACAGCGTGCGATAGTGAGGGAATGTGGGGGTAGTAGTATTGGGATACTGCCGTGAAAGTGTCCGTCGCCAAGCTCAAAAAAACGGTTCCTGTGTCAGAAACTCGAATGAAGACCTAGAGATTTTCATGGAGCCTGAGAAGAAGCCCCGCTCCTCCTGCGGCCTTTTGGCGGCGCCTTGTTCGGCTTTCACCTTGTCAAAGCCTCAGCGTTGCTATCGAAACCCTCCACTGGAATATGCCGTGGGCGTTGTCCGAACGACGAACCACCACAAAAAGAATGTCCAAATTGGCCAACGTAGTCGACATATTGTCCACCACAACCAACGCCTGTCAAAATACTGCGATGGATGCCCTCGGCTGAACCGAACAGTTGTCGGAAAACCACAGAGACACCAACAAATCAAATCGGCCACGGCCACGATGATGGCAACTTGGAGCGTCTTGTGTTCCGCTACCAGCGAGCGATGGGCGTCGCACGACGCCGTTCGGTTTCTGGGTTCGTGCCTTGTGTGACTCAAGGGCCGGAGAATCGCCAAAGTGAAGCGAACATCACCACTGACATGACAGGCGATGTGTGAACTGCAATGAACTGCAATCAGAGTTCTCCAAGGCGTAAGTCAATCGTTACTTGACCATCACGACCTATCAACCAAAATTATTTGGATAAGCAGCTTGGAACCCATAGATTCTTTTACACTATATGATATATGGGTTTCCATGGGGCACGTGTCCCCCCAACCATATTTATTTTTCGGGAGCAGGGTGCTTGCCTCTTCTGAGCCCACGTATTCCTGAACACAGGGTAAGTTGCCAAGTTCAGGTTGCCAATGTCCAAGTGTCCGCGGGCCGCTCCCAATTACTGAAGCAGCACACGGAACACTCCGCAAATCGACAGGGAGACTATGGGGACACAAAGCAGGAGACGACAGTAGAAACAGAGAAGGCGGAACACAACTCCGGTCGAAGATTTATGTGTGGTCTGTCCAAAGCTCCCATGAGTTTCTAGCCACTCTAAGGAAATTTGCTGTGTAGTAGTTCGTCACGATTTGCACAATGATTTTTCCGGTGAAAAGAGGCTATTACCTGAAAACCAATGTACATCGTATCTCGCGAGATGATTTGGCGCAGGGGTTTCGAATTTGAACTCACGTGGATCATTGTCAGCATGAAAAATCTGTCTTGATGTTTCTTTCCTTCTCTTGGTTGGCTTTCACCATCGTGGTTGCGAATTTCCTTGGAATCAAAGTTGTTTGAGATCGTCAAATGGCTTGGCTACATGAAACAAATGACTCTGGATGATTGAGTGTCTGCGTCGGGCGAATCTTGGCTGCTTAGCATTTGGTTGATTACCTCAATCGCACCTGCTGCAAGGTTGCTCTTCCATTCCTTCTGAATGGCTTTGCGAAAGAGGGTTCGATCATGATCATCTATATTATATACAGGAGATCTTTTAGTCGAAACTTTGGCATCTGGTCTTGAGCACGCCAACGCCACTGTGCATCACCGATCTGGTCGAGGCAGTAGCTGGTGTTGGGATCGCTTTGTTCAACTACTTTCTGTTGCAAGTTGCAAAGATGGATCTCTTTCCAATGTTCCAATCTCTTCAATCACTCAATTCGTTACGTGTCTGAATGAACGGTCTCCGCATCACTATTTTTCTGGGAGTCCAGTCCACTATTAAAAAGAACGGTCTGACTAAGGGAACTGAGTCTGGGAACATCCAACAAACTTCAGCCGGTCAAAATATCGTCGAACTGGACTTCTAGGTATCAGGAATGATTTGGTTTTCGTTCTTCGGTCTGTTGGTCCCTCCTCACGCTACCAGACGGTCCCTCCTACGGCGACGACGGTCCCTCCTCGCCGTCTCGGTCGCGTTGACCGACGCCGGGTTGACCGGTGTAGGGGGAAAAAGGCACCGCCTAATATCCATAAAAACACTGACATCAGTGTCTATGTCGATTGAGTTCTGCGTTTGGTTGTGGGTGCCCTTGGCTTTATACCCATCTCTGGCGGTTGTTTTTGTAAGTTCGCATTGTTTTTTTCCTGCGATGGTCTGTGCCTTTGGTCCCTGTTTGTCATCGCTTGGACGTTCTAGACCAGTGATAGCGATGAAACATATCAAATCGCCAAC